GCCATATGACGAAATATAGGAAGTGTTAAAGACATGTGTCAAGCTATCTGGGCAATTTATATGCATACTCAATCAACTGATGATGTACCCCGGCATGCGCTTTGACCTAGTGGTGCTGATTAGGTTGGTTTATTGAAATTACATACATTTGCTGACTTGTGTGCTCAATATATAGGCTTATAAGTTATTGTCAAGTAGAAAATACAGATAGAACAATTCAAAGTAAGACATCACAAAGAACACATCCAGGGTTACGGCCGGATTCGAACCCGCTACCTCCACGCTTAACAGAGCGTTTGGACCGGCGATACCGCTCGGCCAGGGAGGCCCCATGCATTTGTTGAATATTTTAGAGATAACTATACTAATAGGGTTCAAATGTGGGTGGGCATATTGTTACCGTAAGTGGTTAATAGTAATACGCATTTGGAGAGAATGGTTAAGTATATATGCTTATAATGATTGAGATCTTAGACTTGACAAATCACTCTAGCATTAAAGCAGTTTATTAAGGAAAGCACTTCGACAGGAAATGCATCCACACTTCCTGACTGGCCAAAGTCAGAAGTAAGTTGTTTATTTATTGTACCCTCTTCTAGGTAATATTTCTGTTTAAATTGTACTTTTATGTATGCGAGTTATTGCTAGAAAAAGTTTTACGCCTGTCAGCAAGTGAGCGACACTGACCCAAAAGTCATCTTATCCCATCTTCCTTCTACCAGTTAATCTGATAGGTCAAGAAGTAAGTTGCATATTTGTTAATTTATTTTATTCTAAAGGCTTTTCTTTATTTCAATTTTTTTTAAACAATAACTTTGGTGGTTAGCGTCCAATTACCTACCAAATTAAGGAGCGCTTTTACACTAACTTAATTAATCAATAACCTACTTATAACTTATCATTAACTCTCGTAGTGAAGAATAGCCTCTTACTTTTTGAAAAAACAAACTTAACATTGTTCCCTGTTTACCTAACCGTTTTAAGTTAATTTTCACCTTTAACAGATTCAGACTGAAAATATCCTTTTGAAAGAAAACATGTAGCTTCCAAAAATCTAATATCAAATTCCCCAGTGTAATTGAAAAAAACTAAGAAAATAATTTTCGTCCGAACAATATAAAATCTCAGATGCTTCTTATTTTTGTATTAGAATTTGCTGAATGCCTTTCTAGTCATTAACACTAGCATAAAATATATTTCTCCCAGATTAAATTTGCTTCATATTTTGGAACTAAATGCAAAAAAAGACAAGTGAAATCTATATTAAACAATTATTAGAATGGTAATGACTAAACTGTTATCCTTTTACTTATGCATAGAGGAGAACTTGAGTCATTACAATAAGGTATGTGGAACTTACAATAATTAAGGAAAATTATTAAAATATTGATGAGTGAAACGCTTTTAAATGGACGAAGGACAATTTGAGGTAGTTGCAAAAAGTGACTTTAAAGGGAAATTCATAAATTGCTTTCTTTCTATCTGGTGTACCTTTGGAGCTTCATCAATGGGAGTGAGTGGCCAAGTGTTGTTTATGATATATGTAAGTAGTGTTGTAATTATTAATGATAAATTAGAATTATTGCGCGTCACAAGACGCCTGAATGCTGTATACATTCAACATCTCTCGTTTTTTTGTGTTCGTGTCGTCTATGTTTATAATAAAATTTAATTCCAAAGAAATCGGCTCAAGGAAAGCTTATTTATTTCAAACTTAAAAAACCTACCTTATAAATCAAAGGAAAGCTTATTTATTTCAAACTTATAACCTACCTTATAAATCAAACTTTCAAACCTATTATTAATTTAACTAAGTAATATTTTACATGTAGTACCAGACCTTAACCTCGGTCAATTATTGTCATATTTTTTTTTTAGTTCCATGCGACTTTCATGACGATGAACAAAACTTTTTTTTTTTTCACTGAACCGCACGTTATGCAGTATTCCAAATTTGAAAAAAAAAATTTTTTTTATTAAGTAATCTTCAGCAAATTATTAAAATTACTAATGATTCAAAAAAAAAAAAATCGCCGATTACCATTGCTTTCTACAATGCAACTAAATTCGGTGTAGACGTGACTGACCAGGTGAAAAGGAAATATATTTTCAAAGCTTATTTACGTAGGTGCGGATTTTTTTAAATAACATATTGAACCTCGCTACTATCAATGCATGGGCTGTATACAAAGCTGTAAACGGAAAGTCTACTAGATTCTACCTAGTTGTTGATTACTATGAGATATGACACTAGGGATCTAGCCAAAGCTAAATCAAAACAGTGTTCATAAATTTTCAGCAAATTTCTCAATTGTCACGACAATTTCAGCTCTTTCGAAACCAGCGCTGCATAAACAACCAATGCGTTTCTTAAACAGAACCTACGCTATTTCAGGAACATTTTGGACTTAATACAGTCTGAGTCTTCCGATCTCAACAGTAGTTGAGCCAGAACAGTAAGAACACGAAGTAACAAGTGTGATAGTAATGATTCCTACCTACTTATTGTGAATCTAAGAATAGTAGTAGCATATCAGTAGCGTCGATACCCAGATGTTTCTCTGGCACGAAAAAAAAAAAAATTACAGTTTTAACTTCCTGTGTGGGGTTTTAAAATACCGTCTAAAAAGACTTTTTTTTTAATAATTAAATTCAGGCTATTTTTTTGGATTTGGTATTAATTTAAAAAAAACTTCAGTTTTATTGCTAGAGTGTTTTAAGTATGAAATTTTGGTACAGAAATTATTTATACTTTCTTTCTCTATAAACTTCAATCTCTTTTGAGTAAATTTTAAGAGAGGTTCCACAATTCCATCGGAAAGAGGAACGGAAAGATCACTAGGGCACCTCGGGAGCGTGAATCCCGTGTTTACTGAAGAACAAGCAAACCCCTTGAGGAAAAATTAGTCTACTAATAGTTTGAAAGACAAAATTTATTAAATGTGTCTCCAGGAATAAAACTAAAGTTTTGATTGTAGAACAGAAACAACCATGTTTTCCTCTACAGCTTAAAATCAATAGGGGAAAAAAATAGAAATAGATTGTAGAAAGTTATTTAATTTAATAAAATTATAACTAGACTGTATTTTTTAATGTTCTAAAATGCTTCAACAATATAACTACAAAAAATTACATTAAAATTAATGTAGGTTTCAGGAAAGTTGGAATTTTGCAGTTGAGAAATCCTTAAATATTTATTGCTACAGTGGGACAGCTAATTCCTTCAATTTTTTCTTCCCTGATAAAATTTCTGTTCATTTGTATTTTGTTATTTTTGTTCCTTAACACTATTTTTCTAACTTGTTTGATCTGCCATCAAAAACAAATGTTAGGATTATTTTTCAAATACGTTTTAATATTATATATCTAATAATTGAGCACTATAGATATTAACAATTCAAAACTATCATTTCGTTTAAAAAAAAAACATTAAAAGAATTATCTTGTGTTTTAAAACAATTTGACAATTGGGTAGTAAAATATGATTTAAAAGTATACATAAAAGGCCTTTTTTCTTCTTCTTTCAACAAGATGTTATTTCTCCATCTTTTTAGTGAATCTTTAAATGCAGGGAACTCATACATAAGCTTCTCCTACTTTTTAATATATCAGACTCTGAGTGCTAAATCTTTAACTTCTGTGTAGCTCTACAAGAACTGTTTACTTACCATGAAAAATCTTATGAACAGGAAGTTTTAAAGATCATTATATGAATTTTTAAGATAGTGTTACATTACATGCATGTCACATAAGCACCAAAAAATAAGCAGTTTCTCTATTTTAAATGCACGTAATATCAAAACTAATCGAAAATTGATCATGTATGTATCTATATTTCTATTAGGCTTCATGCAAATTTTGCACACATATATGTAACATTAACTTCATAAACTGCAATAATGATCTTCAAATATTGGCTGACCATATTTGCTAATTTTACACGTGGATGGTTTTTTATATATATACACCACACAATATTGGAGACATTTTCAGTTTTTGATATTTTTTTGAATTTTTAAAGAAATACTTAAGGGAACATTTTGCTATTAATTGTCGGTCCCTAAAACTCCTGAAACATTTAAACTTCATTGCTAAGTATGAAAAATTACAAAATAGTCCTTAGTATTTCTTGAGATATTCAGAAAAAATATTGAAAACAGAAAGTATCTTTTCCTTTATTGTAGGGTAATGTATGAATATATATATATTGATGTTATCCAGTTTTAAGGTTATTGTCTGAAAAAATTAATTAGAAAATAAATTACCTTTAGAGAAATTGAATTATTTACATGATGTAAGCTAGTAAACCAAGAAATTAATCGTAAAAGGTATTTTGCAAGAAAGGTACCCAAAGTGTCAGATTATGAAAAAAAAATTTCCCTTTATACTTTCCAAGATAAATTTTTTTATTTTAATTGCCATAATTAGTGAGATATTTCGATTGGAAATACTTTAATCACCGGAGTCATCACATATTTTAATGGAACTCTACAATATTTAAACAAGAGTTTGTTATTTTTTCTCACAGATTATTTCATTTTTAAAAGTAGTATTAGTATATAATAGATCATTCCAATGGGTAAGCCATACTCCAGATACCTTTCTCATTAAAATTCTATTTTAGAAACACCATGAACTTTAAATAAGTTTTTTTTTCTTTTTGTAGATGTGATAGCTGACAAGAATCACAGCTGTTCAGAAAGTTTTGACTTGCACATGGTTTTATGGCTAAATTGAACAAATATAAAGCAGAAAGACTTAACATTCATTGAATTGTTATCTTACACTAGAAACTTACACATTCAGGTTTAACATAACTTTTACAAATATTAGTCACATGAACTAAATGAGTCTTAAATGAGTGAAAAAATTTCCTCTAATACTTAGCTTCTAACAATGGGAGAAATCGGGCACATAATCAAAGCACGCTGAACAACTGAGATTGTTTACTTGTGAGTGTAATAAGTATAACTTTAATTCTATAATAAAACAATTAAAACTGCACTTGAAAGGCAAATTTTTTTTCTTCTTTCTTTTAAGATAAAAGTTTATACATCAATTTACAAGCCAACTATCTTTCTTTTAAAAGCAATGAATAATCAAAGGAAAAAAAAAAAACTTTCAAGTTCTACAAAAGAGCACAAAACTGTTAAGTTCTGTTTAGAACGTCCATGGACATATATAATAACAGGTAGAACAAAATTATAGGATATCATGTTTAATTTGTAATTCATTTATATACTGGCTTTATAACAAAACCAGAGAGAAGTATTCAAATTACAATACCTAATACAAATGCTTTTCTCCGATACATACAAAGTGGGGTTTTGTAAAGACCACCATCAGAATATATACACAATAACCACTAAAAAATCACAGAACAACATGAGAGAGAATTGTGTACGTAGAAAGATACTCATAAAACAGCATCTGGTGCTTTTTTTTTTTCTGAACAAGACTCCTTAAGCAATGGAAGGGGAGTCCAATGTGTAAATGGGGGCAGCAAAAATTATAATCACTAGCAGTTATTTTTATTAGAAAGCTACCCAGAGTCATTATTTCTGTACATGACCAGTAAGAATAGTTGTAAGATTAAATTTAGTTAAGGTAACTAATGAGTATAATCAATATTTTGATTAACAAATCGAAAAGTAGTAACTCAAAAATAAAAATTTTAAATTAAGTTCTCCACACATCAATACTTCACAAAATTTACAATTCCACTGACGCTTAAATTTTGTACTCGATACAACACAATTTACAATTCCTATGAACAGTTTGGTCACACAAAAATATCTAGATTCTGTTATATATATGTAGGACGTGGCAAAGAAAAGGATCTTAGGGTTAAAACAGACAAAAGTGTGCTTTATACATACATAGCAATAACCGGTGACCATAAAAACACACCGAACCTAACAGTGAAGCCACACAAAGACCTAGATATCATGCTCAAGGGACGAAATCCGAAGTTAATACAATACATACAATGATTAAAGTTCTTGTTATTTTTATTATTTTTTAATAAATAAGGCAAATGTAAAAAATCTAAAACTCTTCATACAACATTTGATGCCCATATACATTTAAAACTTTGGGCAGGGAGAAAAAAAAATAAAAACCTTCAATGAAACTAAACAATACTAAAAACAATTTTTTTCCCATAGGAAATACCAATCAGGATAGCAAAAGATTTAGAGACAGAAAATACAAAGGCAAATATGCATCTGCTACTTTACAGGAAATGCCAAATAAAGTAATGATGAGAAGGGGGGGGGAGAAAATATAAGAGCTTGAGTTCCGCCATCAGATGGAAATCTAGGGGGAAAGTCTTTATGAAGATCACAAACGTCTCTGGTGTCCACCTAATTCAAAACCACTTTTTTTGTTTATTTTTCTACAATACACAAGAGAAGTTCATTTCTTTCTTACGTCTTTTCTTCTCAAATAGTAGGGAGAGTCCATTCTTAATTGCTGGTCCAATAGGCGTAATTTTGTTTGTTACTATTCTTCTGTTGCCCAAGCCCTTGTGGTCCCCTCTGTCCAGCAGCTGGAGTCCCACCAGCCTGAGTTGTGTCCTGCTGCATATGGTGGTGAAGAAGAGCAGTCGAGTGATGCTGCCCGTGGGCTAAGACTGGTATGAATTGAGTGGCATACGGGCCAGAGGAGGCACCAAGAGGACCCGCTGCCTGACTGCCAGCCAAATTGAATGGAGGAGGAGTGCCAGTGTGGAAACCAGGCTTGTCATAGGACTAAAATAGTTAAAAAAACAACAAATTTTAGATTTTTAACAACGCTATTTTTTTTCAGACAAAGATGAACATTTTTTATTTATGATAATCATAGCTGACTATGATAATCATAGGAAAAAATACAGCAGATTTTTACAAAATAATACAAATTTCATGATAATAGTTGCATAATTTACTAAATATTTCACACAGAGGGAATTTCAGGTATTTTTATAATCAAAATATAAAAAAACTGCAATATTTTCCAGTTATGATTGACATTAAATGAACTTGAAATGTTATTTATCATGCTTACTCATTTTGAATAGTAATAGCTATTTAATTCATGAAAGATAGTTAAAAGATGTTTTTTATTAAGTAATAAAAAGGAGTTCGAAAGTAAAATAAAATGAACAAAAAATATTTTCAAACGATATTTATAATTGCGGCTCACTTTATTCTGCATTGGTAATACTTATTAAAATATTTAAACAAGCAATAAACTGAGTAAAAATTCTACATATAGATTTTTTAGGAAACTTACTAAATTAAAATAAATATTCTAAAATGCACAAAAAACCAGAATTTTTATTAAACCAGGAGAAACTGGTAAAATCCAGTAGTCTACAGGAAAATCCAGTAGAGTTTGCTTTGGATAATCCTAAACTAATTGATAAAGCAAAAAAACTTATAGTAAATAGAAATTGAATAACTTAAATTGAGCAAAAATAGAGCATAAAAAATTTCTTTCAGAATTTGTACCAATCACTTGTGATAAGGGGGGAGATTTTTATCAGGGCTCCCACTCAATTTCAGAAAAAAAATTCCATGACTTTTCAGGTTTATCAGGTAAATTTTTAATGAAAATCTATACCATATTTTACCTATACCTTGCTATTTTTCATCGGTAAACTTTAATTTTTTCATGTTTGTTATATCAAATATTAGATTTTATGAGCAAAAACATATAGTAATAGAATGATAATTGAAATAGATGTTAGAATTATTTAAATCGAATCTTTAAAATAAAATTCCGTGACCATTCCAGGTTTCCTCTGTTCTCCCTGACTTGTGGGAGCCCTGTTTCATATAATTCTCCCACATTGAATGCTTTTATGCCATCAAATCAAGGTTAATTGTCTCTAAAACTAAAAGTAGATAAATATTGTATTTCACACACTTTACTTTGTTTCATGACATAAAATAATTTTTGAATTTGAAACTTCTTCAATTCTTTTTTAGATAAATAATATTTATTCCTCCTGTTAACTTCTACAAAAATTTGGAAAAAAATCATAAAAAAATCAGGACATAGATTGAAATGTTTAATAATTAAGGAATTTGTGCCCAGATTAAATAAAAAATATTTTAAAGCTCAAAATGTAACATGTGGTAGCAAGTTTAAAAGTACATATAAGAGCTAAGTATAAATTATCAGATACAAAGCCAACTCTATTGCGTATAAACATTAATATTAAATGAAATACTGCTATTCAGTCTGTATCATACTTTAAACACTTTATTTCATGCAAACCAAAAAGATGCAAATTAACAAGAACTGATAACTTAGACCAGTGTTTCCCAAACTTATGACTTTTGCGTAACCTTTCTAAATTTTTCGTAACGTTCTGTACCACTAATAAAAAATGAATGTATTTTTTACTATCAAAAATTGCACAAAGGTTAAATATAACAACTGGCTGTTGACACTATTAATTATTAACTGTTAACTCTGTAAAAAATAGCCAATAGGAAAATACGTAATCATAAATTTTCATAGTAGCTTTATCTTTGAAAAAAATTTTTTGAAATTTTCGTTTGTTGCAAGATATTTCGCACAAGAACGTCTACCCCTGCTAAACTGTTCCCGTACCCCTGGAGGTACGTGTACCACACTTTGAGAAACACTGACCTAGGTGAAAGAGTAATGATTTACCTTGGCAAGCTGAGCAGCATGCGCCTTGCTGTACACTGAACCAGAAAGATCAGGAACAGCACCAGATCCTGTAAGAAAATGTGACAAATATTTATAATATTTCTTTAAAATACAGATTTTTTTATTTCACTCTTATTTGGGAGAAAAACATTGCAAAGAATGAAAGAAGTAATGGATGGGTATTAAAAAGAAATCTGATTTAAGAAATAGGACAATATTCAGTGCAAGTTTAATCTCTGCGAAAAAATTCCAAAAATTATCAAGTCACATACCACTTTACTTAAATAACACAGGAAAAACCAGTTTTCTGGTGCATTAAAATTTCATGCATTATTTAAAATGATTTCTTTAATTACAATTAAGGACATCCGGAGGATTCCAAGCTTTATGTATTTTTAAATTCCTTGAAATATTTCTGTTTCCAGAGAAAAAGGCCACCCTGTTTAAGCATTGCTTTTAGTTTAAATTACACATTATTAATTTGTTGAATAATTTGTTTAAAGCCTATTTCTATTTGTGAATTGTAACAAATATATTTAACTTATATACACCTACAGTATACATAAAGAACTATTTTCTTTAAAAGTATTTTGAATAGAAAATAAATATCAGTAAAAGTAACTGCTCTTTACATGTTGAGGTTAAAAAACTATTTTTCACTTGAAATCCAATTCTCACCTGACACTCCTTTAACCTGATTTTGAGAAGCAGCACCATAAGTACCTTTGGAGTAATCTTGCTGTTGGCTCAAACTCTCATAACCTGGAAAAGTTATAAGTGGTTCATATTCGAAGGTTGGTTGTTAAGAAGGAAAAAAAAAACATTTATAAATTTATCAAAAATTGATTAATTTTTAAAATTTGCTATAAGGGAATGGTTAAACGTTTATCAAAATACACTTAATGTGAGAACTTAATAACATAACAGTTCGGAAAATGGCTTATACTCCAATGTATACAAGGTCTAAATTGTACCATGCTCAAAATAAAATACAGCAGGTGTATATTAATAGCTTGTCAAGCATTATTTCTAATCTCTTATCTTCTAGTCAGTACTGGTTTGAAATCCAGCAAAAATTCTATTTTTCACTTTAAGAAAAAGTAATTTTTTTTCCGATAGAAAAGGTCCATAACATAATTATGATCTTAAAGAGTGATCTCCCTGCACATATTTTTTTAATCCATTTCATATCAATTCTTTGATTTGTTTCCCTTTTTAATTTTTTAAATATATTAAAATTCTAGTCAATACAAATTTTAATATTTTTAATGCAAAGTATTATATAGATTATATTGTATGCATAAAAATATATTTTTTTGATATTTCTGATGTATTTCGAACATCTAATTTTCAACAACTACTCCTGATCTTAAAATATTTTGCTTGAATAATTAAAAGATTTTGGATTTCAATGTAATATTCCCCGTGTTTCTGATTTGCTCTGTTGCTAGGAAAATTACCTTTGAACACAAATGCTAACACACACCTTCAGTGTGTTTTCGTCAAGAAATTAAGGAAACCACACTTTAAAATATTTGATGAAAGAAGTCCTACACACTATTACAAAATCATAATATGAATAAACTACTTTACAGTTATGACAGAAAAAAATTCTTAACATAAACCGAAGGATAAAACTTAAGACAAGCACAATGTGCCTCTAATAAAATATAAAATAAATTTTTAAAAGCAATTAGAAAATAGTTCGGGCAATAGTTTATTTTATATCCAACTTTTACCGAATATTTTGCTTACATCGATTTTATTTATCATTATAGATATTTTTGCAAGAAATCTATGATATTCTATGGAACCAATGTTTAAAAACCTCAATTAATTCTTTTATTTAAAATTAGGGAGAAAAAAAAAAGAGAATAAAATTTTGAGATGATGAAGCATTGCTGACTGTTCTGGATCCACATGAATATGTAATAATTTTTTGTTCCCCAAGTCAAGTTCAAAGATTATGGTACTGATCTATAAATAGGATAGTGTAAGAAGGGCATTAGCTTACAACTGACGAACATAATGGCTCTTAATTAGCAATTAAATTAACAACAAAAATAAAATTTATCAGGTAAATTATTTCTTCAACGGTTAGTAAGTCCCCATGAACTGTGAAAATTCGAGAAATTTTTCAGTTTGATTTCAAAAGGTGGAAAATGAAGCCTGATATAGAGATTCTCATGCAAAATGTAGTAGAGTTACAAATGAGAGTGCAAGAATCCTTCAACCAAATCCTGTTCAGAGTAAGCGAATTTGCAAGTGTTACATCAAATATGTAAAACAATTGGTGCTTTCATTTAGCAAACCAAAATGGATTACAGTTGAATGAATTTCAGTTCGAAAACCCCGATTCAGTAATTCGTGATGAAAATTGACATGGTAAAGAAATAAGAATAATCTTATTTTGAAGGGGAAATTAGCAATTTTTAAAAAACCCCAATGAAAAAAAAAAAGCATCTTCAAAAGCTTTTTAAAAACTAAAATAAGCACCTTGTAAAAACATTACATACCCTGAAATACTTATATAATAGTGGGATTAGTTCTTTACCATAACATGGTTAGATTGTATTAATTTAACATATGCATTATAAAAACACTGTTATAAATGAACCAACCTGAACTGTAGGAGTGTGATCCATACGCATTAGCTTTCTGAAATTGAGAATTAGTGGTTGCTCCATGGGTGTTAGTCGCAGGAGGAACCTAGAATGGAATAGGCAAACAAAATGACAAAGAAATATAAATTCCCTAACATGTTCGCAAGATCATAAAGCCGTTGACTTTATAGGGAGCTTAAAATATTGTTTTATTCCAACTACAACTGCAGACAACATGTATTATTTAGTCTTTCTTGTGAAATGATAGTCTTTAAAATTAGTTTTTTCTGTAGAATAAAAAAGTATATTTATATATTAATAAAATTAAACAAAGTCGTAAATAATTTTGTAATATTATTAAGGGAAAAATTAAAATTTTTAATTTTAATGAATTATTAATCATAGCTGTTGCACAACGAAATTTCAATAAAATTAACAGGCTTTTAAGAAATACTAGTGTGTTGAAATAAATGCTATTGTGACATGAAAAAATCCTTTAATTTCAAAAGTTAAGAAATTTGAAGCGCAGCACACAAAATTTTGTTAAGCATAAACATAAGAACCACTCACTCAATGTAAGGAACAATCTTTAGACATAAACGCTAAACAATTGAAAAAAAATGATGTACAGAAAACTATATCTACATGGCAGAGTAACAAATACACCTGAAATCTGGATAAGTGAATATAGCAAACCAATATGAATGAAATACAAATAAACAAACAAAAGCTTTCAGATTGTTTTACCCAATTAATATTTAGCACAAAACAAACACTATCTTTTATTTGAAACTTTACCTAAGTTTTACATTTCAATGATGCATATAATTGAATTAAACCGTAGGGTCCGTTTCCTTTAACTATAAATAAATTAATAATCTGCATAAAATGTTTTCAGCTATTTAATTTACAAAATAAAAACCTAAACATTAAAACCAGAATAAATGTTACTTTTCTGTTACAATTTGATAACTTTAAAACTCAGTGGTACAACAGCTCACTAAGGGCCAAGATTGCTGTGTCTATCCGTTTTCTTGACCTAGGGTTCTGGCATGAAGGAGCAGATGCTTAGGTTGGATGGCCAGCCAAATGAAGCCTCCAAACATGCTTAATGCTCAGCTACTCAATTTATCGACCCATTGAAAGGTTGAGTCAACCATGCCTTGTCAGAGGATAGAATCAATGCCTGTGTCCACAGTGAGACAAAGGATAATTTTTTCTTTAAAAACTTTCAGCTATAAAGTAACTTGACTGAAATGTGTAATATTAAAAACAGACTAAAAAAAATCCCACATGCAAATGGAACGAAACATAGGAACCAAACAAAAACAAAAGAAACTTAAACAATAAAATAAAACTACATTTTATTCTTTTTTACAATTTGATAACTTTAGCTTAAACTCAGGTAGGTGTTACAAAATCTCTAATCATATGCTATACAGTTTTGACAAATACTCCTATTATGAACTTCAATGGGTACACATGTATCATGTGCTTTCCTGGTAGAAACTTTGGTAACAGTGGATGCATTCCGGGTAGTAAAGATTATCTAAGTGATTAAAACTTGATTTCAAAATTGAACTCACTGGGAAGATGGGGGGTGCCGCATAGTGATGAATACCTCCCATCATGCCCCCAGCAAAGTAATAACCATAACCAGGCGGCAGAGCAGCAGCAGGATTTAAGAAAGCTTGTCCATGAGCCTGAGTGCTTGCCTGACCTTGAGATAATGTTGTAGCTACTGTTGAGGCATCAGTTTCTGCTCTACTGTATTTACCATCAGCTGCAAAATAAATAAAAAAAATATTTGAAAAAACAAATTATGTCAGCTAAAACAAGTATTTAAAACCATTCTTGTCAACATGAATAAGGCGAATCCAGCACATTTTACGAAATAATATAAATTTTAGGCTAACTATAACAAAATTAAAAAATTTCATAGGTGCGGGAAATAAAAGGATTTTTGCATCATACAGAATTATATTAAACCACGTGAAGAGGTTTTTCTTGGTTCATTTTGGTACACTTAGAAGGATGACAGGACTTCTATTTTAACACTCCTGTGTCAGATAATGGAAGTTCAACACTCAGTAGAGCTACTTTATTTTCAGGGCACACAACATTTGATGTTACTTCATCAGATCTTATAATTTTCTTTGAAATATATTTAGTTTAGCTATTAGTTTTAACTTCTTTCTCTTTTATGGGAGGTGCAGCATTTCTTTAGTTTTTATTGTAAAACTTCACTGTGTCAGCTGATGCAGGCTCAACCACTAACAGAGTTATTTTATATCCAGAGCACACAACTTCTAATGCTATTTCATCAGATCTCTGAAAGGAAGGATTTTTCAAAGAATTTTAAACCCGTACTTGCTTTGCACTCAATTGTTGTTGCTGCTATCGTTGAGCTGATTTAATACTTTTCCCCATGATATGATTGCTTTTCAAATAAAATTTTTTCAAATTTGATGCTTCATAATTGTCAATATTTAAAGACAACTTCCAAAAATAACGATTGGGCCACCATCTGTCGCACTTTCAGGATAACTAAGTTTTCACAAATCAATAATGTGATAAACAGCTTTTTCCGAAAGTTTTTATATGATGAAGATTAGCCATACTGCGGAGAAAAATTACCTGCCTGCGGGCAAATTCTTTTTCTTTCAAAATTAGTTTTTATAAACATAAACCTTTCTTCCATCTCGGTTTTCAAATGAAAGTTCAGCTTCCATTACAAAATTTCAATTAAAATTAAAGCAGCAAGTTTAAAAAAAATATAAAATACCAACTCAATATCCCCTAATACTATTTCCATTATTTTATATAGTTATATACACTTTAAAATAAGAAAGTTCTAAATAAAAAAAAATTAATAAAAGACTGAAAATTACAGAAAAGTTTTAACTGATCACAATCAATGAGATTTACTTCATTATTTAACAATACTTATGCAGTTAGGTCCCCATGTTGTTAACCAATAAAAAACTGTACCTTTTTCTGTACAGAGAAAAATTAACATGCATCGATTATCAAAGAGCTGTGTTGATGAAATGAATGCAACGCTAAAGATGAAGAGCTAATTGTACACCTGATTCATAAACATTAGTTCAAGAAAACGCAAATAACTTTATGGAATGAACTAAAAATAGAATTTGTTCAATGATTAGATAATTTTATAAATTTAATTTTAAAAGAAGCCCTTTATTCTGTTTAAAGACAATTTGTCTGCTAATTAATATTAAATAAATGTCATTTCAAATAGAATCAGATTTGATAGCTGATTTAGAATTAAGCAAAGTGTACCTCTACTAGGATTTTTTTAAAAATACATATTAATATTTCTTGACCTATTTTAAATTTGCCAGATTTAATTTTTAGGTATTTAAAATTTCTTATGGCTACATCATAAATGTAGTTTTCCCTAAAATTACACATTTAGTAATAGGATTTTATTTTTCCATAAGAAAAATCAACTGAAAGACACATACATAAGAATTAAATAATTATATCATAGTACCTGTATAAGCTACACTGGTCATGCCTGGATCCCGCCCAGTCATGCTTGTAGGAGCTTGAAACTGCATATCATAGTAGCCCTATAAAAATAAACGTAAACTTAACAAGTACACTTTTTACACAAAAACATTACTCCTAAGAGTTTGAAGTGCTCAAAAGTTAAATTATGCCTATCAGTCACAAATGAACTTTCACTCAAAACCAGATTGAAACACAATCAAAATGAAAATTAAGCACAACATTGGTTAGAAGGAATCTTGTAAGTTTTTCACTTCAACATAAAAACAGTGATGACGTTACTTTAGAAAATATAACATAAAGACGCTTAATGAGAAGCTGAGTCCAAAAGTTTTTTTTTTATGAAAAAATAAATTAGTTATATATTTTGAAAGAGTTGAAGTTACTTTAAATTTCTAATCAGTTAAAAAAAAGAAAGCTTAAGGCATTTTCTACAGTGATTCCAGGTTAAAGAGGCATACAATTGTGGTTATCTCAAAAACAAGGTTAAAATATTCCCTACTACAAAGCAAGAAAATTTTAAAAAGCAATGTTTATAGTCATTCATCGTCAAAGTCACATCCAATCTTGGTCAAATGTTAGTCAAAACAAGGTTAAAAATATGATCTAAAGTGAAGGTCACAGACAAAACAATTTTACTACAATCATTCTCAATCAAAAACACATCCAACATACAAAATGATGAGTAGAGTAGTAAGTCTATGAAAATTATAACTATCTCATGAAGCTTGGTGATGAATGAATGGCTCATAGTGCAATTACTATTATCTTTTAAGAAAAAAAAAATCATAGAACACAAAGACTAATTGGATGAACAAAAACGAGATAGGTTATAGATGCTAAGGGTCAAGGTTGAATGATGTTACAAGTGAAGGTATGAGAAAGCGACATTACAAAATGGGAGGAAATAAAAAAAGCCATTTGAGATGATCAGACTAATATGTAGTGTGTGAAAAGCAGATGATGGGCAGCCACAATATTAATGATGATGATGATGAAAACAGGCTACAATTTGTCACATACCAAAGTGGATAGCTTCGACTGCAACATCTGCATGTCTTCATAACTATAGACAGGCGACTGTAAACCCTTCAAAGAGAGAAACAAATCATGAAGAACATACATTGTAAAGTCTACTGTGTTTTTTCCCCCAAGTGTCAAAAGTTATTGCACACAGGGTGGTGAAAATTAAATAAATTGTGTAAAGAGAAAGCCAAGGTGATAGGGTAAGTGTGTAGTAAAATGTTTGCTATAAAAAAAAAGTATTTAATTTTCTTAGAGGATTAAAAAAAAAGTCCGTAAGAATAAAGGTATACAATTAATGCTTACCATGGATGAGAGTTTGGATTGTAATACTTGCACATCTTCATAACTGTAGATGGGCTGTTGCAAACCCTGTAAATAAGGTATGAAATAAAGCATTTCTTCATAATTTCAAATTTATTACAGAATACAAAATAAATCAGAGTGAAAATCAAAAATTTCTTACGTAGAATGGCAAACTGGCCTGCCCCATAACATACTGATGACCCAACATTGCAGCTGGCATATTTTGTGGAATATTTGGTACTGCTTTACCTGCTGAAGATATTAAAATCAATTTAAGAACATAAAACAAAAAAATACAAACTAAAAAATTAAAAATAGCACTTACTTGCAGAGAGAGAGTTCTTGAGCACTGATGTTGTGGTGGTTGAAGATGATGTTGAAACAAGACCCAAGACAGAGTTCATATTCGAAGAATTTTGTACCGAATGATTCGTAGCCGACGTTTGTGCCAAACTGCTCACAGATAAGACACTTGAACTAGTTGTCGTACTTGGAACTTCGTAAGAGTGCTGCAAATCATAAAACAAAATATATTGGATTAAATATTTTTCACAAAATTTAGATAAATTAAGTGAGAATACATCTTAAGAATGAAGCCTTTTTTATTTTTACTATCTCTAAAGATGCTTTTATAACTTCATTGTATCTGGATAGAAGAAGGGGTTAGACATCTAAATTAGGCTAATTTAAGTTCTAAAGTAAACTATAATGCCCATGAAGCCAGACTAGTTATGTTTTGCATGAAAACACAATTAGTACCAAAAATATGCTTTGATACACATGGATGGTAATGTTTTTTTCACAATGAAAAAGACTGCCTTTGGAGAAACTAGATTCTCCCAACCCAAGAGAAGAAAAATGTAATCAAATAATTCATAATTACATTTTTAGTCTAATGCAATAAATAGCATTAACTTCAAATATATTTATTTCATGTCAGATGTAAAAAACAAAATATGTAAAATCACAAATAAATACAGTAATATTAATAAAAAAAAGTGTCAACAGTAAGGACATTTTTCAGCACACTGGTTTACATTGCATTTTACTACAACAAAATAGGCACTAAACTAAAATTATATTAGTAAACATTTATCTAATACAAGTGTATTTATCTATTTATAAAATAAAATCAACACAAATAAAATATATTAAAAAATAAATTATTACCATAAAAATAGATTATTATAACAATCACATTAAAAATAATTCGAATAGAAATAAATAAAAAATATTATAAAAAAAGAGTTATTTCTTTAAAAAAGTACATGTAAAGAGCTTCTGAAGTTTAACTTTATTTAAATTATTCTTATAATATTTTTAACTGGTTGCAACTTGCATAATCACTGAGAAAACTTTCTTATTGGTAACATATATATTTTAATACATAAATCAGAATCTTAAAGGTTAAATTGTTTTTCTACTCACAACAAATCACTAAATCTAACCTGCAGACGAGTTATATTAGGAACGAAATTATGCTTTTAAGTATAATCGAATTTAATTAGCTGGAATTCTAAAAATATATACCTCAAATATTGTACCACCTTGCATACCCTCCAACTTATGAGGATTTTGAAAATAATTCTTTCTAGTGGTAGGTAGCGAACCAAAGTAGAAATTTTTAAAGCAAATGGATCTCTCATAAAACTTTTATCAGAACTTAAGAATCTAGCCATATGGCCTGCACTTTTATAAGTAATAGTGGACAAGTTACGCTAAAATTAATTTTTTTAAATATTAAGACATTAATTTTGCTACCGTCTGAAAAGAAGATTTCTGAAACTACAGAAATTCCGTAGCAGTTGGAGGGTATGCACCTTGTCATAAAACCCTTTCCTAAAACCATGCAAGTTGGTAGCAATACTTAAAAAATAAATGTTACTTCGATTCAGTTTTATCTGGAAGAAAAATCTCATCCCAGAACAAATTTTACTTCAATCAAAATAATAAAAAATTATTATCTGCATGTTTTGAAGGAATTACACTGTAATGACTTTTTTTCACAACAAAATTATCAAAAATGAATGTTCGCCACCAAATTTATTTTTAAATCTAATCCTTCAACTTCACTTTTGAAAAAAACTGAAAATTTATTAATAAATATTTAAAAAGCAATATGAGTTTCATTGAAAAAATTTTACTTACTTGAGATGAATTGTGTTGGGATTCTAGGAGGGATGATTCTTTCACACTGTGGTTAAGAGAATTAGATAATTTAGAATTGGATACAGAAGTAGAGATCATAGAACCAGACTGAGCAGCTGTAGTCACTGCACCACTGTATACACTTTGTTGACTATTATAACTGCTATTATTTGTTCCATAAGAAGATGAATGGGAACTATAACCTAAGAGCAAAAATTGTGGGAACATTTTAAGCAATAAATTTAATTAAAATATAAATCTATTAGTTAAGGAATAAGAAAAAAAGATTTTTAAAAATTACTCGCAAATAACATTTTTAAAAAGGTTTATGTATTTTTTAATAAATTAAACAATAAACTATTTTTCATAAATTTATTTAATAACGCTGCCTTTGCTTAACACAGAGAATTTTTAGAACAGTCAATTTGCTATAACTCGGAGTACCATAAATATCAATAATTGTGAAACTGCAATTCTAACCTAAAAAAATTTATATTGCATTTTTGGAAATAAATTAACATAAAACAGCTTACTTCACCATAAAAATTTGGTAAAGTAGTATTTTGTTAGTTGAGTTTTTGTTTTTTCATAAAATGTTGAATTATCAAAAATTCGATTTCAATGAATTCTATAAATAAGACTATAGATTTGAAGAACGATGTACATGGTGTACAATCCCAATGGCAAAGAAGTTTGAACCATTAAATTTCACAAATTTTTTGAAGCATTAATTAAAATAAAAAGATGCTAGGTAAAAAATATAAATCTTTTAATTGATTAATTTAAAATATTAATTATTCTTTGAAAAAAAATCCAACATTTTGAACTCACACAAAAATTAGGAATCTTTGGACAAAAGCTATAAATCAGGACATTCACCAACCTTGGAATGTGGAAATAAAAGGATAAATATAGACAAGGGCGCCGGCAGCGGGGTGCACTTGCACCCCCCTGGCTTTTTTTAAACAATTAAAGAGATACAGGAAAAAAAATTTGGTTATAAAATTTTTTTTTTATTAAAAATATTTTTATTCAAGAACAAATAATTAAGTAATTATTGATAAATAACAAATAAAAAAATTGTATAATCAAACAAGAATTGCAATCATCTTGTTAACTGTCCAAATCTGTTTATAACTTTTTCAATGAATTCTGAGTCATCTTTTCTTATGCACACTGAGCAAGCACAAACTACTTAATCTCTTGTGAAACATTGTAGACGGATTCCATGTTTTGATGCTTCGCATTGTACTAAAAGTGCGTTCAATAGTACAGTTTTATCCGCTACAGCTCGATAAAACGGTGTGGCCTGAATAACTAAATCGATGTATTCGAGGGATTCATAAGATATTGAAATAGATGAAGAAAATTAACAGATGGAAGTATATGTAATAACAAAACATAACAGAATATTTTCACTTTTTTCAGGGGGGAGAGTAATTTGTTAGAGAGTTGCACCCCCTTTTATATCATTCTGCTGGCGCCCTTGAATATAGATGCCCACATTCAAATTGATCCAGCTTATATCAAACAGAGAACTTCTGGATCGGTATTGTCTCAATGTAGGAGAAATTAGCTCAGTTAACAAAACTGATGCAAAAATTTTTATAAAAATAAAAACATACCTGTTACAAAATATAATTCATATATTCGCGATTCTTCATACTATACATTCATATATTCTTCATACTAAAAAACATCAATTATAGTCATAATTGACATTTTGAAACTGGAAGAATGAAGAAACCAACGATATGCAAAAATAAAAAATCAGGCTCTTTCCAACTTTTGTTGAAATTTCAACCATAATAAAGGGAGAAAAAAAAATTTAATTCATTTAATATTACAAATTAATACCTCAATACATATACTCATTACAATGATGATTATATCAGTCAATCAATTATATCAGTCATTAATTTACTAAATTAATCTTTAAATTATACAACCATTATTAAGTCTATTAACAAATAAAATTTAAAAATATAATGAAGGAGATACAAGATATGATTTTTGAAACATCCATAATCATCTAAAAATATCATTGAATTACACGCCATTAAGACATGAAATTTACCAGTTTGAGAAGAATAGGAGCTTGCTGTTGTGGTAACAGGAGTAGAATAAGGTGTAGGCTGTAGACCATAAGCAGATGAGGATCCTGAAACGTAAGAGGAATTCTGAGATTGCCCCTGATATTTTGGCTGGGATGGCTGATTGCTAGATATATCACTGGATCCACTGTTCATGGATGAAGAAGTGTGGGTGTAGCTCACAGTAGATGGCACAAGGTTGGACGAGTTCAACACTGACTTTTGATTGGAATAAGAAGAATATGCCGAATCATGAGTGGATGTGTTAAAATTCAGAGCACTCTGGTCTGACTTGTTACTCATCATAGTACCTAGGAAAAAAATATATATATATTTTAAAAAATAAAATAACTCAAAATTTTTTAAAACTGAGACTGTAATCTGAGATTCCAACTTGGAAATTATGATTTCAGAAATAATCACACATAACTTTTAATGATTTTCAGTAATCCTCAGTAACATTAAAGTTTTACCTCATAATTTTAACATTAAAGATTTATTGTTTATTTTAATGGTACTATAAATTAAAAATTAATAAGAATTAATTCATTATATAATTATCTTAATAATTAATATTCCAAAACTGTTTTGTTTAAAAAAAGAGATAAAATTTGAGTTTAAGATTCACCTAAAAAGGTACATAAATACATACTTGTATAATAGAACACAAAATAAGAAACTGAAACTTCAATAAAAAATTGTTTATTTATCTGCTATATGGAAATCTAATTTAGTACTTTGCTTTACAGCTCTTATCTCAGCATCAGAAAATGTCCTTTCAAAACACACTTTTTTGTTTGTTAATGCTACAAAACACGTGCCCTTCCACACTACATGCATGACCATAACATTGCATTACTTTTTCATCTTTTGCTTGACGTTCCATTGCATTGAGAGCTACATTATTCACATATACTGGCTTTTTTGCTCGTTAAATCTTCGTTAAAAAACAACGCGACAAAAACGATCAATTGCTTAAGCAGACAGTAAGTACCGCTTATTTCTGTGCTGTTGACATGACGGATTGAAAGCGTGAGAGCTAGAAGCGCTACGTTTAAAAGGAGCATCCTCACTGCGCCCAAAAATGCATTTCAGATCGCCGTCCTCTTCGACCAATACGATTCAATGAGAATGATTCTTAAAGAGAAAAATTTATAGAATAAAAATTAAACTTTTGGATGAGTTAAAAATTATTTTTCCGTAATTTTGGGGGAGTAGCCCGTAATAGCAAAATGTTGTCATAAAATCCGTAATAATTACAGTATTGATTCTTAAAAGGAAAAATTATAGAATAAAATTGAAACTTTCGGATGAGTTAAAAACTATTTTTCACTAATTTTGGGGGAGTAGCCCGTAATAGCGTAATGTTGTCATAAAATCCGTAATAATTACGGTAAATCCATAATAGTTGGCATCTCAGTGTAATATAACTAACAGCAAGATATGAGATTTTTAGAGGCGCCAACTTTCCAAACAGGCTATTAGTAATTAGAAGTACAATAACACAAACAGAGCTCATACAAGACCTTCAAGGAGGCAGAATGCTATTTTCCCCTAAAAAAGGGCCTCTATCACAAAACAGAGTTTTTTAAGACCATTAAATTAAATTAAAAATAACTCCCCAGTCAAATTCGCAAATTTTATATATTAGTTTTAAAATGAGGACAATTCTCGAATTTTGAAAATGGTGCATGTCGTAATAACAACCGCAAATCAATTATTGCCGCAAATCAATCGTGTGATAGTGATGATTAAATATGAAATTTGTATTGTATTAATTACACCAGAATAAAAAACCATTAGGACTAATAGCTGTAAAAAAAATAATAAAAACAAAACGGCATGGATGTATGATAAAATTTACCTACATTAAACACGTCAAAAAGTGACTGCTTAAATCAGAAAAGTCGCTTGTCATAATAACATTGTATAAAAATCATCAGAATAAGAAAAGAAAAAAAGGTGGAAATTGCCAGAAACGAAGTTGATTTACAATGGATTCATTGCAAATCGAACATCTGTCCTTTAACAAGTCAGGGGCATAATTAGGTTTATGGGGCATGCAGGGAGGAATTTTTTAATCAAAGGGCCTACTATGAATGATGAACATATAAAGCTATAACATAATACTATATAGCCTTTAATACAATATAAGTAATAATAATATATAATTCTACCTAAGTATATACTTAATACTACACCTGAACATAGTATAAAATATAAAAAGGTATCACTTAGGTGTTATTTTTTTCTTACAATTATTAAGTAGAAAGTTCAAAAATTGATAACTTTTGGAAGATATGGGGTGGATATAATTTCAACAGATAATTACGAAAATTTTCAAAAAAAAAAAAAACAAACAAACAAAATAAAAACTTTATTTTTTACTCAACCCTAACACAGTAATCTTTGACTACGAAATTGTAACAATTATAAATAAATATTGTAATAGCTAGCCCTTCTTTATTTTATTTTTACAGACAGATGATCTTTTTTTATCTTCACACAAATAATTAATAGAATTTTTCTAGAGAAGAAAAGGTTGAAAACATCGCAATAAATTTTAGAGATTACAATATTAATATAAGCTAACATCCTTTATTATAGATAACATTACTGCACTTTGAAATTACATTTGTGAAGATTATATGATCTAATAGATGAGAAAAAAAAATTACTTTTTTTTTTCTCTTGTCAGTAGAACAGTGTTTTGATCGTAGAAATAAAATGGGTGAGAATGTCTCACCCTTTCTCAAAAACAGGGTGAGATTTCAAAAAGTTAAGTGAGATCTAAAAATTAAAAAAAAAAAACACTCAAAGAGACTTGAAAAAAAAAATCATTTCTTTAATTATAATAAATTTTTAACATCTTCTAATTTTTAAAGCATTAAATATTTTTTTTGCATCATCATATGGAAAATGTTCTACATCTACTTTTTCATCAGCTATTCTCATTAGGTTGCTCAAATCGGCTTTTGTTTCGTTTTGATCGTTTCTACCCACATTTGTTTCCTTTTCATTTGTCCGTTTCGGAGTAGAAGATATTGCCTTTACAAGGTATTTGTCCATCTTGCATTAATGTGCAAAAACATGTCTTACATGGAGAAACCTTACCTACGGTAAACACGTGGTTGCAGAGAAATGCGTTAAAGAGGTTTGGAGGGATGGTGCTCTGTTGTTCTTAAAGGTTCTGAACAATACTGGTAAATAGGAAGCTAGATAATGGGGCAGATGTTGAAAATAATGAAAGATCCAGGAAGAAAATTGAAACGGATTTCATTCTAAATGGCGTAATGAGAATTTTTTTTCAAAATGCAAGAAATTCGAAAATTTTGAAATTGGTTAATTGAATGCGTGAATTTCTTGCGGTAATCAATTTTTAACGTGAGAAAAGAAAAAAAAAAACTAGCGAGATTCTCGCGCTGTAGTGAAAACACTGGTAGAATAATAATAAATAATAAGGACTAGTGTTGCCATATATAATGTTGAAACAATAAACTTTAAACTTAGCTAATAACACAATGTTTTTATTTTTTAAAAAGTAAATTCATCCGAAACGTTTTTAATTTAAATTTCAAATATAAATTAATTAATGAGTATTTCCACTCTATTTAAATGTCAAAAAAAATATGAATAAGTAATTTCAAAAGATTTGCAACCATTCTACTTGAGAAACAAAAAATTAAATATGTATCCATGCTCTTTAAATTTGATAAGAGATTTCATAAATTTGATAAGACATATACATACTTTCTAGATTGCTACCTTGATTTGATCGATGATTAACAAATGAAGACACATTTTCAACACTTTTATGCTCACTTTGAGATAATAAAATACTCTCTTGGTTTGCAACCTAAAATAAATAACAAGTGTAAATCAAAAATCAATGAGCTTGTTAAAAAACATTTTTCTATATAAGTCGCAACTAACTTCGGAAAACATTTATTGCAAATTACTACAGGGTGCGTAGCCAAATCTTTGAATCAAAAATAAGCACTTTTTAAAAACTTTTCAAGCACTATTATCACTAAGTTACAAAAGTTAAATTAAAAATAATGTAACTCTAGTGAAAAATATCAGAAAGTCTTTTTTTGAAATGATAATAATATTTGTTTTCTTGGAAAGGTGTGTCGTTTATGAAAGAGCAAAATCATTGATCTGTCTGGGTTTTTTTAAGAGGTACCTATCTTGTGAAAATTTAGACATAATTAGTGCAAATAAAAAATTATATTTAAAAAATCAACACAANAAAGAAAAACATTTCATAAGGATCTGATATTCTCTATCCGAATTGGAGCACTCGGGTTTGGGTTTAAAGTGCGCGTGTATGCACAAGTCATAACGTGGGTACGGCATGAAGTCCGCATGAATGATTACGTAGCAAACTCCCCATTTTTCGTGAAATGCATGGGATCCACCAGATATCACTGAAAGGAGACAAAAAAAAATTTCGGAAAAAAGCACTTTTTAAAAACGCCAGCTAAAAAAAGCACCTTTAAAAGCTTTTAAAAACGAAATCCCCCAAAAAGCACCTTTAAGTACTTTTTACAAACGCTACGCACCCTGTACTATAAATACCGTTTAAAAAGAAAAAAACTATTTTTTTTTAGAAATGAAAATTTTTTTTCTATAAATTCTATAAATAAAATTGCATAAATAAGACAAAATTTAATTAGACATTTATATACTGATATCAATTTAAATACAGCATTGAAAACAATTCATTAAAAATAGAACATCATACACTATGTCCAATAGTAACTTTTCAGGGTAGATAGTAGACTTATAGATATTTTGAGGGTATTATAAGAAGGGCAACGACCAATTATGAATACATAATAACTCAAAAATAAAATAACCCTACTTTACTAACCCCTTTCTTTACCCTAATTTATATCGGCTCTTAGGTTCTTAACACCCAGTTTTTAAACTGATAAAGGTTGCTAAAAATCAACCCATTAGTTATTTCACAAAAATTATAAGAACTGCATGATCATTTTAAACGTGGTTAGGTGCTTTTAATTAGGAAAATATGACAATGTAGATGGTTGAACTTTCCTTAAATTTTTTGTAAATGTATGTTTTTTAGTTAATAAAACAAAATAATAACTTACCTTTTGTGACTGGCCAAGTTCATTGGATATAGAGTTCTGACTTGGGCTACTGTGAGACCCAATATTATAAGTAGATTCTTTACTCATAGTCACGGAAGATGGCAAAGCATTTGAGTAAGCTGAAGAGGTAATGCTCGATGGTAATGTTTGACTATTTACATGACTGGAAACACTTGAGCTATTAAGGGAAAGATGACGCTTATCATTGCAAAATATTAAGAAATTATAACTACTTTTAAATATACAAAGTCTTCACACAATATTTAAAAAAGTTAATATTCATTACTTGCTTTAATACGTTACACGATAATAAGACAATCAAAAGATGAAAATTATAAACTTTTAATTAAATTTCATTCATAAAATACTGATGACTTGCTTAAATAAAGGAAACTTCAATTCATACCTTTGTCCTAGATCCTGATAAGCACTACTGGTTTCACCAGATGTGAAGTCAAACGGCGATGAATCAGTACCAAACTGTAAAGCTCCAAATTGTACATCTAGAGATGTGACTGCATCATCAGGCATTACTACAGCCGATTCTGGAATCTATACAGAGATGCAAAAGAAATTTAATAAATAAAAATACACCATTTTTATAATTAGGGCCAGGATGTTGAGGAGAAATCCAATTACTTGCATTTCTAGTTTTGTTTCCCCTATAGAACATAACTATTTTTTTTTCCTTTGGTATTTTTATCATTTAGTAATTTCATCTTTTCTCTAATAATTGTCATAATAATTTTGAATTTCTTTTATTTTAAGAGAATTTTGCTATTGAAATATATATATATATATTTAAATCATAAGTTTCGCATTGGATCCAATTATTTTAAACATCCCTAGTAACAAGTGTTGACAATAATAAAAGTATTTGCTGTTGGGCAAAAAGCATGATGTTCTTAAAAATTTTAACTAAAAATTTTAACTAAAAATTTATTAATTTTTAATTACCTTTATCAAGTATTTCATTACAATTTATTCCTTACTAGCATATTTGTTTTAAATATTTAAACAATGAATATAAATTATAATTTATAACTCTTTTAAAATGTTAATACAAAACATGTTTTTGAGAATTTCTAAGGGCATTATTTTTCATTTTTAGGTTATTTTTTATATTTTAAATTATTTTGCAGACTATAAAGGCATTTTACAAGAATTTTCAGGTCTTCAACATCACAGCTCTGGTCATAACTTATAAGATAAAAAACAATGTGCTACATACATTTTAAATAAAAAGTTAAAGTTAGCAGAAGTTAGGAAAATAACTATGTAGAATAGGGGTGCACAATTTGTGGTTACGGGAAACATGCGGCCAGCAGACTTGTTGATGAGTGGCCCGCAAGAACTTCGGAACTCAATTTTTTTTAATTAAAAATTTCTAAAATTTTGAATTGTAAATTTGCGTAATGATTTTTTGATGCACTCAATTTGCACAGATTCTATTGAAAATCTATATTGTTTCTTGATTGCTTTTTCAAGGGTTATTGCTACAAAATTATGTATGATTGATTAAAAAAATTAAAAAAAAATTAAAATATTACAATGTGCGAGTTTCGTATTTGAGTAATAAATTTTTGACTGCCATCAATTTTTCCAGCTTTATTATAAATAGTGTATTATAAAAACTAGTATAAATACAGCACATACATACATATATTAATAAATCAATTTAATTATTTTTAAATATCAGTTTTTATTATTATTACTTTGAATTAAACTTAATTAAAAGTATTTAATTTACCAAAAATATGTTTCTAAAGTTTGTTGATAAAAATATTTAATCTTAAAAACACCAATTTTAAGATATAAATAATCACATTTGTCACCACAATGACTAAATATGCTTATAGCCCTCCATTAGTCAGCCTGCTGCGTGAGTGGCCCCTCACTCAAAAAGGTTGTGCATTCCTCATATATAACTACAGAAAAGTACACCCTAAAGTAGAACTCCAGAAAAGTGCACATGTATGATAAAAGATTGAACAAATAAACGAACAGAAGTATGAAATTATTTTATTCACCTTAGACGGAGGTGGTAGTCTAGCTTTTGGTGGCGGTTTCACCCTTTGCGGTAGAGGAGATGTTTGATGTTGCGAGGTTGTTGTTTTTGTTGTGCTCATACTCTGTTGGGATGCAACAGGCGAATGCAGATCCCTTGAAATATGAACACCGGATGAGGACGTTGAAGAATAATTGGACTGGGAGACAATAACTTGTTGCAGCTCAGGTGGAAGTTGAACATGATGTTGACTGCTAGTGTTATTAACACTATAGCTTGATGGATAGTTAGGGCTGTTTGACTGAAATGAACTAGAGTTGATTGAGGGGGCAGCGGGGGTATTTTGACTCACAACCTACAAACATAAATTGAATTTAACAAAACATAATTTTACAACAAACATAATAAACATTTAGCAAAATAAATATTTCAAATTTCATTAATATCAATGTAAGGAGTAAAGGAAGAAAAGTTAGGGGTTAGCTTCAAGATAGATAGAAAGAGTAAAAAGTTAATATATAATGTCACACATTTTAATATCAAACAATCATTATCAGAGCTATTCATAGTTTCAAAAATGCCCTTAAACATGTTTATTAGTTACTTGGTTCAGTATTTCTTTAATAAAATTATTTTAAAAAAATTAAATAATTTTGAAACGTAAAATACAATGAGTATTAGGGCAAAACATTGCCAAAAGTAAATTACATTATCCTTACATTCATAGTATTTAACAAATATGAGATAAATGAATTTTTTTAAGAAACAAGAATTAAGTTCTTATTTATATTTAATCTTTTCCTAACTTTTATCTTAAAATAAAACATTTTTCGTAAAAAAATGTTTTGAAGTAATTAATTTTTTTAATTAAGATTGTAAAAAATTTCTTGTGCGAAAGAAGTTTGGAATTTCTATCACGCTCAAAACAATTTTGGAAGAAGGTGTTTCTAGGCTAGCTGTTTACAAAAAAGGAACTACAATTAAAACACTACAGTCAATCGGTGCCTTAATTAATCCATAATATAATAAATAGGAACAATTGTTAAATAATACTATTTAAATTTATCATTTTAACAAGAAAAATTCTGTTTTAAGAATTATCACCACCTAAATTAAATTTTACTTTAATCAACAAGTAGAATTCACAATATTAAAATTAAAATAAGAGTTAAACAACAACTTACACCAACTGCTGCTTTAATTTGAGCTTCAGCTTGTTTTGCAAATTGGTTGAAGTCAAAATGTGATTGCGACTGTGGTGCCACTGCTTGCTGCATTTGAGGGATCTGCTGAGACAATAGAGAAGCCGGTCCCACAGATGGACCATTAGTAGCCGGCATGCTTGAATTCTGTTCAGAACTAGAGGCAGATTTTTGCAAAAAACTCGCTAAATCAATACTAAAAAGAAAATAATTTTTGTACTATTTACTAATAAATATATTGTAAAGATAAAAATTGCATAATGTAAAAATTTATAAAAAAAGCAGATAAAAATCAAAACAGACACATGGAACTATTTACAACAATTACTAAATGCAAACAACTTTTGTTGTGGCTGCACAGCACTGAGCTCTTCCGCTCCGCTAAACTTCAACACCCCGACTTAATCAACTAGATATTTAAAACAACTTTCCTAGTTCCAAGAACATTAATATTTATCTTTGCACAAATCACTGAATAAATGATACATACATCTAATTATTTAATAATTTACATTGAATACAATCAAAGAAAAGAGAATAAAAATTACTTTTGCCCGAGAGCTGTAGCTGTTGGAATGTCTAATCCAGCAACTGCAGTTGATTGAGTGCCAGCACTAGGGGTAAAAACTTTAGTTTCTGTCAGCTATAAAACAAAAGAATTTTTAGACTTAATTTCCAGACATAACATTTCACATTACTTAACAAGCATTCTGTTGTATAGAAAGGATACTGACACAAAAGCCAGATGAGGCAATACTAAGTTTTAATTAAGTAAAATGCTTTAATATGCACTTATAGTGCAACAAAAAATAAATGAATATACATACATTTTCTGCCCAATCTTCTTCACTCCATTCTTCTGTAACTGCAACATCAGACCAGTTTCCTAAAAAAGCACTTTAAATTAATAATATGGTCTAAATAAAGTAGGTTGTCACTGCTAACTTCAACAATCTTTTCACTTTCGATCTCTAGCAATAAAGCTTTGACACATTTAATTATTGCAAACCCGATTTAAAAAGATATTGTCGACGCCAATTTCAATATCTTCAAAAGAATCTAAAACAATCCTCCATTTGTTAAAAAAATTGAATGTAGATAAGCAAGAGTCAGTACGAGGTTTCTTTATATCTTTCCAAAAAGGGTGAAAAAAACTGTACTGTGGTGGTTGCAATAACTAACTCAGTTGATGTCAAAATTCAACTTCACTTGTTCACTCAATGCATTGCCCCTATACTTTTATGTATGTGCTAGACCAAATGTTTTGCAAAATGCAAAAGCTGATTAAAAAAAATTAAACCAAATGAATAGATATGAAGGCATGATGTTTGCAGAGCAACTGAAAAATCTCCTGCAGATATAAAATGGCAACATGCTTTGCATGTTGCCACTTGCAAACTATTTCAAGTAAAACAAATGTCAAAGACAGGCATAAAGTTCATTTACTAAAAAATTTACAAGATATTTCCTTCAATATAAATGAAAACAATAAAAAGAATGTTATCCCTAAAGGATTGTCATTAAGCCAGCACACGGGAAGCAAAAATTTACAGAATTTTTTCGGCATTGACATTCTTGCTAAAATATCTAAAGGTTGTAAATGAACCAAATTTTATAGGGTTAAGAAAAAATTTGTTCATCATTTCACCCGTCAAGTATAAAACAAAAAATAAATAAATAAATAATTACTACGATATAAAAACAATAATTGGTCAAATTAAGCTTTTATTTTTATTTTAAGTTAAATATTTTTTTAATTCTCTAATAAAAAGTGAATATAATACAGAAATCAAAACATTATTTAACAAATGAGAAATTATTTTCTTGGACATTTGAGTAAAATTTATGCCAAAACAAAAATGCAGAAAATAACTAAATAAATTAAAAATTTAATTGCACCCAAAAACCATATATCAACCAACTTTCAAAAGACTAACTGAGATAAAAAAAAATTAAGTAAAAATAAATAAAAGAGGAAAAAGTGAGTAAAAGAAAGCATGTTACATAAAGAAATCAAACTAATGCATTTTATAAACAATTAAGCAGATCTGTTTGATTGCAACAAATGCAATAACAAGCAAAATTTCTGTTGATGTGTATCGTACAAAGTTTTGTAGCTATTTAACAACGGATACATTCACGGGAATTGATAACTATTAAAAAATTACATAAAACTGATATAAATACAAAAAATTTAAAATCTGAAAAATAATTTCATGCTCAAAATCTGTATCTTCAATAATAATAAAAATTATACATACCGACAGTCATTGTTGAATCTGCAGCATTGGTCATGTTGACTTTTTCAGCGGTACTATTATTCCATGTGTCGATAGACTCCGGAAAACCATCATTATTCTGGAGACCTCTATTTTGAAAAGTTCGACTACGGCCACCCCTGCCTCTTCCTCTACCTAAAAACATAAATTAAGATTACTTTTACACAATACATCAAAATGAGAATTCTCTTAAATTAAAAGCTATGATAAAATAAATGAACTAATAATTGAACATTAGATTTTTCCTATGGTCTTTATCTTCAGACCTCTGCTGCATTATCTTTTTTAAATACAGTCAAGCCCCGCTATAGTGAACACGGTTTATAGTGAACTCCCGGATATAGTGAACGAAATATTTGGTCCCGTGCCTTGCTATACAGTATAATGTTATTTTTTGTGGATATAGTGAACCAAAAAAGTGAGGAGGTTGGATATAATGAACTTTTTTCTGTCTTCGACTGATTTTTTGGTAATAATTTTGAAATTTCTACTTCAAAATAAATACATATACCAATGTTTAAAACCATCTATAGAGGGTAATACTGCGATAAGCATTTTTTCTTGTTAGCTTCTTTTATTTCACTTTCCAATCCCTAAACAAACCAAGCAGATGCTTCCAACTCAGGCAGATGATGCACCTGTAAGGTGTCAGTGGGATCAATATGCATTTTCAGCCAGAGGGAATGAGTAATTATTCGTTATTGGTCAAAGGGTTGGACACTAATATGTGTCGATAAGGCCCTCATTTCAACTCCTTTTTGCTCTCAGTTCAGTTAAAAAAAGTCTGCGAACAAGTGTCTCAAATTTAACTATGAAGACCAGTAAACGTAAAACGTTCTACATTGATTATAAAATGGGCATAATCAGAAAAATTTAAAATGGTCGCAATCAAGTTGATATTGGCAGGGAATATAAACTATTCAAATCTGCAGTTTGTAACATAGGGAAAAATAGCCGATTAATAATTTCTGCTCATGAAAAAAATTTAGAATGCAGAAAAAAGTTGAGAAAAGCAGATCACAAGGATTTTGAAGAAGCATTACTGAAGTGGTTAAACATTCGAAGAAGCCGCAATCTTCCAATATCTGGACAAATGTCGATGAATTTATTAAGCGATTTTATGAGACTACTTTTATGTGCTCGAATGGCAGTTTAGGCAGTTTTAGAAAGCAGAATAACAGAAATTCAGGAAAAATTATCTGAGAGTCAGGAAGTGTTTCCGTATCTGATGTTGAGGATTGCTCATCAGCTAAAAATTGCTAATTTTTTTTTTGCACGCAAGACAAAGAATATTGAAAAATAACACATTTTTTGCTACTACATAATATTTTTCAGTCATTTATTTGAATAATGTGTAATAAAAGGGAGGAGTTTGGGAACCATTAGTTAAATTGCCTACGTAACGGATATAGTGAACTCCCGGTTATAGTGAACCAAAAGTTCGGTCCCTTGAAGGTTCACTATAGCGGGGTTTGACTGTATCAACAACCTTAATTAAATTAGAAAAATACAAGAAACATGAAATTAAAAATAAATAAAAAAATTACCTGAAAAGTTTTTCCTTGGACCTCGCGATCGGCCTTCATTGTTCCTCTCTCTGCGACCCTCTTGTAAATTCCTTTCGTTTTTCTCATTTTCTTTATTTCTCCCTAAAGTGAAATTTTCATCACATTAAAGTGTGGCAATAATGATTTCTTTAAAATTTTAAACCTGTGATTCAATATTCTAGAAATCGCATAGAATAAGATCACATACAAGAGTGTACACAATCAGAAAAATGACAAATTTACTAAGATAAACAAAAAATAGCGAGACACTTTTATCTATGTGACTTTTCTAAATTTCAAAACAAATACAGGGCGGATTATTTAATTTCTTCAAATATATTTTTAAAAAGAATTAAGAGCAGTAGCGAAAAAAAAATTAAGATATCTTAAGACATATATCAATATTTTACAAAATTACATGCTTTTTAAGCATTTTATTAATCATAATAAAGGAGTTTACTGATTTTATTTTAATTAGAAAATGAAACTATAACTGGGGAATTTAAAAGATGAAGTACATAATGAATTTCAATAACAATAGGATTTACCTAACAAAGATAGTAGACTTCTCTGACTCCAATAATATGCTTATATTTTTGGTCATAACTAGAAGATAGTAAGATTTTTCTTTTGATTATTGAATTATCATTTTAGCAAAAGTTTCTTTTTAATTAAAATTGTTTTCATGTGAAATTTCAATTGAAATCCATTGATGATATTCTAATTAATGTCTAAAAAGAGAGGAAAAAAAACTTAATACACCACATACCAATAATAAAGCTAAGTGTTAATTATTTTTCAATGACTAAACTTATGTATACATAAAAAATATTTATTAATTATTACTTTTGGGAAAAAGTTTATGTTCAAGTCACAAACAAAAAAATTAAATTAGCTGTTAACAAGTTCAGTTTTATTATGAAAAATAATACATTATAAACTTGGAAAATAATACATTATAAAAAAAAAATAATATTTCCATTATTTTCAGCCGAAAATAGACAAGAAACACATATTTCGGTCTAAAGGACATGTTTTATGATGTATATTCCTTTTAAGTCTTGCTGCAAAACAAACAAAATTTTGTTTTTACAGTTACAGCTAGATTGCAATCATTTATAACATAAAGATTCAACTATGTATATATTTCTGTTTTTATATTTCTATTGTATCTCTCAACAAATCTTATACCTAGAGCTTGATTGAGAAATGTTTAACTATATTGTGTTAACAATTTTGCTAGAAATCAAATTATAGAACTTTCCTTAGAAAAGCAAAACAGAAACAGATTGATCTGGAAATTTAAAAAAAAAAAAAACAACTGGAAATGGATTGGTCATGTTTTATGTAATTCTGAGAAATTTTAAAATAAATTAAGTTTTAGATTGGAACCCTCAGGGCAATAGAAAAAGAGGAACACTTAATAAATACTTGGCGCAGGATGATTGTTAACGAATTGAAAACAATAGGAAAGACAGTGAGTGAGGCAAAATATCTGGCCACAAATAAGAGTGAGATGGAAAGCTATGATAGAATTGCTAAAATAGTGAGAGAGGCAAAATATCTGGCCACAAATAAGAGTGAGATGGAAAGCTATAATAGAATTGATAAAACAGTGAGCGAGGCAAAATATCTGGCCACAAATAAGAGTGAGATGGAAAGCTATGATAGAATTGTCAAAACAGTGAATGAGGCAAAATATCTGGCCACAAATAAGAGTGAGATGGAAAGCTATGATCATGAGTGCCACTTGAAAAAAATTTTAAGACTGAACTCTTTTTTTGACCAATTAACATGATCTAATGTAGTTTATCAGAATTTTCTGAAATTTATAGCGCACTGACTCGAAAATGTATCTTTCCATGATAATGGCACAGATATTAAATCAATGATTTGATTATTTTTCTAATAAAATTTTTTCATTTTATAAATTTTTTTACAGCAATTAAGATAAAAATAACAGCTAACTCTATACATCTTTTTATAATAAACTACTAATTTTTTCATGAAGATATTCATATCTTTACTTCACCATTATTTTTTGTCTTATCTCCAAAAATTTATTCAATTTTTTTTTTTTTTTAAATTTAACTTTGATTAGCATTTCAAAACATTAAGAGTAAAATAAAAACTGAAGCAAATTTCGACACAACAATAGTACAAATTTTGTGTAAGCAAGCAAGCACTGTAGCAATGTTTACAGACCCTAATTTTTTGCATGACTTCACTTTTATATTTTTGAAAGCATTTATCCAATTTTTTTCATTTCGGTGTGACATCATTACTTGATCATTTCGCAATAATTCAATAACAATGCTTACATTAAAATTTATTATTTTTAACAGAAAATATTTGCTAACCTATTAAGGAAAAATGATGTTTTAATTTAAAAAACAAGCAGAAAAGAGACATTAATTGATGAAATTTAGTCTACTGATTTTTCTCCAGACTGATTTCAGTCCCGAGGACTGAAGAGTGGCACCCTTGGCTATGATAGAATTGCTAAAACAGTGAGCGAGGCAAAATATCTGGCCACAAACAAGAGTGAGATGGAAAGCTATGATAGAATTGCTAAGTTCTGTGAAAGTCTCTTAAAACAGTTGTAAAAAGAAATTTTAACAATATAAAATACTTACAATTTCGATTCTGATTTCCTCCACGATTCATGCGAGGAGGACCTCTGTATCTATAAGATCCTTCACCCCTCTGCTTTGGTTCCCTTCGTCTGTTTGTATTCTCGACAACTGGTTCTTTTTCTTCTTTTTCAACTGGTGCAGGTTCATGACCATTGACTTCTGGAGCTTTCTGTTGAGTCTGTCTGTTTTTCTTTTTCTTGCCGGATGTTTCCCACTTGCCCTATAAAGAATAACAATATCATAACTTAACATATCTTATTTAAATAACAGCCTTAACATGCTCGTGCTAACAGGCTAATACCATTCTTTTTTTATTAAAGGAGATCCTTAAGGATTTGAAGATCATTTATTTGGATATCTTAGTTAATTGAAGTAGTTCCTTAATTAGGTTATGTGTTATTTGTATTCATGTGGAGTCTTGGTGATTAGAACATCAATCATTTGTATACTTAAGTTAACTGAAATTCTTTAATTATTTTTACAGTTTATATTTATCCTTAGAAAGAATGGGTCATTCTAAAAAAATCCTAAACCTCATAATTACTTTTATTAGTATGTTAAATGTGACATAACTGCAGTGCTATAAACACTTTTTTTTTTAAATATACCATTTATTAATACACTGAATTGATAAAGGTATGTTGTCGATAAAAGAAACCATAAATAAAACAATTTTAAAAATAAATATTTGTGAAAGATCCTTTGAATAGAATTTTCTATTAATATAACTCACTACTTATATTGGCTTCGTTTCTTACTAAAACCCAATCGGAAGATTTAATCCTTCAAAATTTAAAATCTGGTCAATAATCAAAACTTTAATTTTTTTAATAAAATTTTAAAAAGCAGCTAAATGTTCTAAAGGTTAAGAATTCTATGATTATTGAATTATTAATTGGATTAAGAGAACAAGGAAATTGATCAAGCTTTTTCAAGCTCAAATAATGCATTGTGCATTATCTAAATATCATAATCAGTAATTCATCTATAGTTTCCAGAGTAACAAACTTGATAAATGAAGTTTTTTTTTCTTTCTAAAGTTAATTCAAGTCTTCAAAATTTTGATATGCAATTTAGGTAGAATTGATATGAGCTTCAATCACTTTAGTTGATATTGATGAGCTTCGAAACGGATATTCGTAATTTCATAACTCTACAAGGAGCTGCAAACAAGAAAACAAATTTCACTTTGGTTCTACATTAAAACTGTAATTCCACCAATTATGTATAAACAACTAGTTTAACTTTATTAAGATACAAAAATAAAGGGTTTTTGGAAAAAAAAATAGCATTTAAAATGATTCAAATTATTTTGGAAAAGTTCAGAGCTAGTAACAAAGATTAAATTAATTTTAAGCAAGATAATAGAGGAAAAAATAAATATTAAAAATTAAGCATAAAATTAAGAATCTTAGTTAAATTCATAAAATAATAAATGATAACTAAGTGAGAGACAAAAAAATTCACACCTGTGCTTAATCTTCACCAATTAATAGATATCAAGCTTCATTCAGAAGTTTTTATAAATTTAGAAAGGTGCAGGATAAAATCTATTTTTTTCTCAACTACAAAAACTATTTTCATTACAGTGCTCATTCTAGTACAGGGTTCATTCTAGAGAGGTCGTACTCCTGTCTATTCTTAGAATAAAAATTTTATGTCCTGTGTGCCCTTCAAACCTGATCAAGCGCCTTGACTTTTAAAAAAAATTATCAGCAGTAACGATGAAATTTTTTTAACAGTTTTTCAAATTCTGTATATTTAGCACTGTTTGAAGCCTTCAACTTGAGACTGTTCTATCAATTAGACGTCGTTTAATGAAATTTGCAGCTGCTATTAATAACTTTGGTTCTATTTTACTAGGGATTTTTAAACTATCATATACCAGAGTTCCCACTCTTTCAACCAAGCAAAAATTAAATACTTTTAAGGACTTTTTTTTTGTTGAAAAAATCAAGTGCTTTTTGAAAAATTAAGAAATGAAAACTAGATGTGATAAAATTGTATATTTAAGCTTCTTTAAAAGTTAAGCAAATTTTTTGGAAAGACAAAACCTTGTTTTTTTTTTATGAGTGCCTCTTTTTAAAGCATAATGTCTAGAATAAACCAAGTAAATATTTTCTTACAACTTAAAATTAATAAAAATCCTAGAATATGACATTTAGAACATCAATTAAGTAAAATCATAATATCTTTAATGTCTAATACAATCAAAAATATAAATGGATCATTACTTCGTCTTCATTGCCCTCTAAAAGCATAATTGTAGCACGGTTTGAATCATTGTCACAATCATGAAGAGCCACCAAGGCATCATCTTTTGTTCTTCCTGTTATTTCTATGATCTACAAGACAAATAAATTAAATAAAATAGCTATATCTCATAAGAACAGTAAGCTTAAGATAAAACAATAACTATGACACCTTTTCAAAAATATAACACCCCTGTAGCAAAATTTTTATGGGCTTTCTGTGACAAACTTCCCTAGCATTAATATTTTTCTTCAAAATATTTTTCTTTATAGCAATTACTAATTTAAAGTAACAGAAACGTTGTGCTTAAAGAAGAAAGTTTAGAATAAAAAACTTATCTTTTAATCTTTTGCAATTTCTGAATTTCTAATTTTATATTATTAATTTTAAATTGCAGTTTGAAGCCAGTCATTACAGACATTTTTTAAAATCCCAAATGAGAATAGAAAAATCACTATTTCTTTCCTCTCTGATGTGCAAGAAAGATATCTTTAAAAAAAAAATTATGCAGAGAAAATATTTTTTTGAAAAATTATGCAGAAAGTAAAAACAAAATTTACCCTTCCCAAACGAAAAATCTTTCTGCAAAAACTAACATTCTGCGACAATGTCACCGCAATTCTGTCACAGAGGAAACTACATTTAATTCTAATATTATCACTTCAGCTATTTTTAGCTTTATTACATGGATAATTCTAAGGCAGCAATAATTCATTAAACAACAAAGAATTTATATAAAAATAAAATCTAGAAACACTTACCCTTTCAACTTTGTCTTTTAAATCTGGATAGTCAGCTTTATTTCCATCATAAATAATCTGTGCAATCCGCATCTGCTCAGCAGTAGGCTGTTTTAAAATAATCATACACACATTTTCAAATTAATAGAAAAAATTAAATAGATACTGTAATAAAGAATGGAAAGTAAATAGGAAACCTTTAAGATACTTATAGAAGCATATTCAATTAAAACTAATCACTATAATGTAGGGAATAATAATTTTATTTCTCTTAAACTTACTACAGTACAGAACCCGTTATCCAGAAATCAGAAAACCGGAACGAAATTCGATAAATTTTCCCACCATTTAAAAAAAAGAAAATTTTTTTTTCCTCATAAGATTTTAGGATTTTTCTTTCTTTTTTTAAAGATGTTCACCTTACCATCATTTTGGAAATAATTATTAGTGTATTACTTCATCATTTTTTCTCCTTTTTAAGATTATTTCCAATATTTTTCTTTTTTTAGTTGGGTTTAACAATAAAAAAACAGCTTTTTGTAGCGATTCAGGAAACCGGAAAAATCAGTTATCCGGAATAGCGATGGTACCGATCGTTCCGGATAATCGGTTCCCTACTGTATTTGAGAATCGTGGATCTCATATAAAGAATGGTTCACATATAGAAAAAAAAGAACCATGAAAGAGAATTAAAATGAAAAACAAAACAAAAATATAGCCTGAAGAGTTTGTTTTGTTTGAAATGTTCATTAAAAAATGTGCAAAACAAATGGGAAAGTAAAATTTTTATAATTGACTGATTATAATAAAAATGCAATTTTAATGTATTAGTAGAAAAATTCTAAAAATATGTTGTTTGTTACTCTGACAATGAAATAAAGCAATTTTATATATTTAATTTTCTATATGTAATGAAAAGTGGATTGAGACAGACCTTATTTGCAATCATTCATTTCGAATTTGCGAGTATTTTTTAAATTAAATTAAAATATATTTTAGTATATTTAAGTTTAAAACAGTAGATTCTATTTTTAAATTTAACTTCTTTTATCTACTTTTATACATTAAATAACTCCTTTTAAATAACCACACAACAGATAATTATAATGACCTATTTCGTCGAAGAAATGATTTTTGATAGTTTTTTTTTTAAAATTATTACTGCAAAATAAATGTGAAGGCTGACTTATTACTGAGGGAAAGGAATGCTACGGATGTTTCCTAAAACATCTGTAGTGAATGTTTTAAAGCAAAAAAATAAACATATTTTTATTCTAATATATACATATATTAATCTTCTAATTATTTGAACATTCAAACAATGTTATTTAATATGACAGAAAAGGTATAATTTTTTTTTCAATAAGCAGAACACTTTTTTCATACCAATTCTCTTCTTATGCAGGCAATTTTTTGTTCCGCCATAACCGTCGCAAACAGTATAGTAAAAAATGTAATGAGTTAGAAACTCATAGCTGTTAGGTTAGTTTTTATAATCCACGTCCACGATGCTGGTTTATAAAAATTACCGAAAAAAGTAATATAAAGAAAAGTCAATATGTATTAAAACATTTTAGTTTAGCTCTTAATTGTAGAAAAGTTACTCTACCACTGCAATGTTTAGGCTGATAAAGATACTCAAAAACTTAGAATTATACCCTCTTTTTTTTTTTCTTGTCCAAATGGAAAAACTTGTTGTATTTTTAAGAGCAATTAATTCTTTTTTACAAGATGCTTATGAAATTTATAAAAAATTAAAATCAATGCTCCACTAGGTGCAATTGTTTATATTTATGAGATAAAATTCTTTCAGAAACACAGTCAACAAAAGGATGGACCAGCTATTATTCAGATCTCTCTAGAGTGCATGAATAAACATTGTAAATCAAAGGATTCACATGATGTCCCGTGTTCGTTTAGAAGGGATTTCAATATTTTGTTAATATTTATAAACACGTTCACCTATAATAAAACTACTATAACAATAAATAAGTTTTCTTTTTATAAGGTGCCAAAAACACATGAATTTTTTTTGAAATTTTATTAAAAATCAATAAAAAATATACCAAATAATAATAAAAGTAGACTTTACTAATATATTTAATTGGTTTCAAAATGGCTACCTTCTGCATCAATGCATAAGCACAAACGCTTATTGAAATTTTCAGCAATGGGACACAAATCTTTTCTAACTTTAAACTACCCTCGCGTTCCTACTAAAGCAAGTGCTTTAAAAAGTACAAACTTTTGTGTGGTTTAGTGCAAGCCTTAATTGCCAAAATAGACCATACTGTAATCCATGGGACTAAGATCTGGTGAGTGGGGCGGCTGTAACTTGACATTGTAAGAAAGCCAAAAAACAAACTGAGAGGAAAAAGAAATTGAGAAACAAAAAGGGATAAATACACACATTAAATTGAAGAGAGTTAACTTCTAAACTTTGTCCTTCATACTTCCAAACTTATGTGTTTTGTCTCATATAAATAGTTCATTTTTTTTAAAAAAAAGAAGAAAAAAATTTTGTCTTGTGCCCGGTTGTAACAAAAACTTGGAAGTTCACTTTAGCACTGACACAAATATGGAAATCTTTCATAATATTATCCTAACATTTATTAATAACTATGTAATTTCAATTAAAACTTGACGAATCTATTACATATTAATTGAAACCTACTTGTATTTTGGGAACTGCATTATCTCCTGTTTTCTGTCCTTCTGTCGAATTTTTTGTCGTAGAATGTGAAGGCTGTTTAGGCCTATCTTTAGAGCTTCTACCTGCTCTTTGTGAAGTGGTTGAACTCATCACAACTATATACAAAAGGAGTATTTACAAAATAACTGGAAGAAAAAAAAAAGGAACATTAAACTCACTAAGCATAATCTTTATAAAGTTTCAAACATAAATTCATTGAAAGTAAAATTCCTTAATATTTACTTTCTAATGTAAATCTTGTATATTTAAAAACTACAGGCAGTAACAGTTACTTAAACATGCATTTGAAAAAAAACATTAGTAGATAAATCGATACCTTAATAGCTTTTTAAGAATGATATAAGTACTAGTCTTCAAATAAATATAGCAGTGAACTCAGCAGAAATATTTTACTTTTTTACTCTTAATAAAAACAAATGCTGATGAGAAAGTTAATACTACTTAGGTAATTCATTTATTATTTACATTAATAATACAACATATTACAAGTAAAAAAATTCAACTACTACAGTTAAAAAAAAAACTGAGAAATTAAACTTTTAAAATTTATAGAAAATAAAATATCAGGGGTCTGTCTAGGTTTTTCTCAAAGGTACCTATTTTGTGAAAATTTAGACATAATTTGTGAAAAATTAAAAATTATATTAAAATATCAACACAAAAACATGGTAAAAATATAGATTTAATGTTTCTTAACGGATACAAAAACAAAGTTTTAAGGATAAGTATTTTGTGAAGGTACCGTTTTTCCTAAAGTTGAATTTGTGAAACTACCGTTCTAAATAAAATTGAATTTGTGAAGGTACCGCTAAACGGTAGCAAATTCGGCCTGGACAGACCCCTGAATATATTTCTTTTCCAACATCGAGAAACTTATTTTTCATAACCTAAAAGTTCAGTAAAAAAAAAAAAAAAAAGTTGAAAGCAAGTTCTGAAAATCTCCCAATGTACATAACAATTCCATAAGTGTATTTAGAAAGGTAACAACTAAAAAATTTTAAATATTTATTTTCCATGAAGGAGTTGCAAAAGTAATAAACAGAAAATTCTCTTTGGTTACCATAAAATATGTTCATATAAATCACATAATACTGAATGCTCTGCAAAATAGAAAATGTATTGCAAAATACTTAACAAATAATAAACGGTTTAACAATTATTAGTAGAAACAAATCCTAATCATCTCTACACCATTTTCAAAATTATGACAAATATGTTTATATTTTGGATGACATCAAGGACAAGGAATGTAAGATGAAACACACAATATTTTACCAATTCATAAATAATATAACAAATCAATGTGAATTATTGTTCCGTGCACAGAATATAAAGAGAAGGTAAACCAAAGTAAGTAAACAAGACATAACAGTTAATAATACAACGGACTGTCAGCGCCAAATACCTTAAACAAATTAGAGGGCTGAAACTCGGGATATATTTGACTTAAAACAAATATCTTTTTACTACTAATCAAGTATTAAAAGCATATCCATGAGAAAAGTTAATATCCATGCATGTGTATTTGTTAAGCAAATGTAACTAAATTTTGATACAATTAATAAATACTTAATAAGAAACTAAATATTTAGCTTCATATGTCAGACACTGATACATAAAACAACTTAGCTAATTGGAAATCCCAAGTAATAGAAAATTGATAAAACAAAACATTTTAATTTAGAAACTTTACAAAAAATAAGCTAGTATCTAGAATTAATAATTAAAAAGTGGCAAAATTATACTAAGAATTTCTCGTCAATCAAGGTTTGGTATTTACATTTTAATTACAAGCAGTGTAAAATAATGAAAAGCAAAGTATAATTGTTTTCACTCTTTTCTTATATAAGAATCCAGTTGTAGATCCAACATTAAGTTTGAAAAATATTTACAATTCTAATTACAGTTTCACTATTACTCTACCAATCCTTTATATTTAAAGATTTAAGGGCTATCAACAAAAAAATGTAATGCTTTGAGTTTACTGAAAATTCTATAGGAATAAAGAACAAAATAAGGATTCATTACAATCTCAAACAGTCTCAGACATGTTTAAACACATCACTAAGTTGTAAAAATTAAAACAAAAAAAACTGAAAAAACATTAAGGTGAACTTGAATACTGATTGATAACCACAAGTTCATGTATATTATCAAACCATAAGTAAATTAATATTATGCAAACTTAAATTCCGAGAAAAATTTTTAGATTCAAAAGATAGGAAAAGAAAAAAATCAATGTAATAAACTTATTTAAAGATACTACTAAACAATTATTTACATACATTATAAATAAAGAACACGAGCATTGCGTTTACTATCAACAACAACTATAAACATATGTCCAACCTTAAGCAGATTTTCAGAAATAACGAAATAAATAAAGATTATAACGAATGTTTTTATAAATCATAAATAAAACACTATAGAAAATAAATTGCGAAACGAGTGGAGTAATTCTACCTCTACCCGAATTTGAACGTGCTCGTATTGAATACTGCGTATACTAACAGAGCTATCACAATTCAGTAAATATTTATTACAAATGTAATGGTTTATAAAATCTATAAATTGGCAAATTGAATGAAATTATACACTATAGCATGTCTATAATACAGTATTCACAAGATAAAATTATTAGTACAACAAATTACAGATCTTTATACAAAATTCACCCTTATGCATAATGCGCGGGATAAATTTACGTACACTTAATTCACATCAGTCCATTCACATTAAATAATAATTTAGTAAAATGAAACAGAACAAAATAAAATTTACTCATCAAGACAAAGCTTTTAATTCTGAAAGTAGTTTTATTCAACTATTATTTATTTATTTTTCCTTTCAAGCAATCGCATGCAGCTGACCGCCAGAACGTTGTTTCTTTAGTACGAAGAAAGGATTATTTAAAATAATGCAGTTAGATTTTAACTCTATATAAAATTAAATATTTTATAATCTTAGAATGGGAGAATTAGTTTTTTAAACACTGGTAAACAAGTACTATATACACAATGAATAATAATACTTACGCTCACTTAAGCCTACTATTCTTTTCGGGCTCACACAAAGCCCTGCTATCTCTAATTTTAATGTTGGCGGTTACAAGTAAGCATTCATTACAGTCAAAAGATTTTACTTCATTTACGAACTTGAAATTGAGTTCATGACGTTTCTGAGAAAAGTGGGTGAGTAATTTAGCAATTACCTGATTTATTTAAAATAATGCAGTCATAAGACAATAATTTATGGTATTTTTTAAATGCAAAAGAAAATATCTACGCAAATTCGCTTTATACCACCAATCTTCGGAGCCATTCTTGTTGCTTTCAGACTTCCTCCTTTTAAGGAGCGTTTTCACTTTATGAAAGATGCATGCAAAATATCCATGTGCACATTTTGCATAATTTTTAGCATTAGAAAGCATTCTCACGATTTCTGCACTTCCGTTTATAGCTGAGGGAGAAGAGGAACCGGATAGGTGAGTTTTTCGTTGAAATCAGTTCCTTCGACGTACATCAAAGGTGCGTGAACAAATACATTAAGAGTGGCCCATTAAAAATCATTCGCACTGGATGCGATTAATTTTTTTCGCATGTGAATGAGAACTAGTTTGGTGGAAAATATTTCCTTCGATTCACGCACTTCCGATCATCTCAGAGAAAAATTAAGAACCTGATTAATGAGTTTTCCATGTGAAAATATTTTTCTACTTAGGTTCTCATTCTTTCTTAGAGCGATTGACAGTACTTGAACCGCATTTAGGGAGAATGACACTTATAACAATATAAAGTATTCCGATGCGAATATTTGGAATCTGTGAGGTAGAAAACGAGCAAGAATCACTTTCACATGCGTGTGAATGATTGAATTGGAGGGAGCAAGATTGGTCCTTTAATTTGCTGATGCCCTACCATGAGCTCCATGGAATGAAATTCCATCTGGGAATGACGTCACGTTCGAAACGAATCTCAATAGCGTAAAAATGAAGAACTGCAACTTACCAGTCCCCTCCAATCATCATGGTATATGGATAAATGACCGGAAACAGCCGTAACCCGTGCGGCGGTGGTACCTCGATTTTTAGTGTGCTCTGGTATATCAGTGCCAGTGAGTATATCAGTGAGTATATTTGCCAGTGAGTATATCAGTGCCTCTGGTTTCATGGAAGCTGGAAGACTTTTTCCATTTTCACTTAGCGCCACTACCATCAGGCTTCTGCCGGGCACATTTTTGGTTGTTTGTCCCTCTCCAGGTAGAATGTTCACACCTGTATACTTAATGTGCTACGTTATGTATCTTGTCTGATTTCGTCATACCACGGAGCCTAAGTGACGAGATTTAGATCTGGTTACTTATATTCCACGTTCTAATCTAGCTGACTCATATAGTTTATCACTTATGATAAGTATTTCAATATTGTACATATGTCTGTTTATATCCGTTTATACATAGATATTTTTAAATTTCCCTTCGATTATCATTTTAACTGATGAAAACACATTTGGATAACGCTGTAAAAATTTTAAGAGCAATATTAAGCGGTTTTCCAATCCCGGGAGCATTTCCGCTACTTTAAGGTGACCAGATTTATAATCATGATTTGAGGACAAATCACCCGAGCGTTCTCAAAAAATTTTACGATTCAAGAACACCTACGTATTTATGGAAAATATTAATTTAAATTAATAGTAAAATGAACAATTAAATAAAGATCAATGAATTGGTGATCGAAATGGGCTATCGGAAGCACATACCTGAATTCTTTAACTATGGCAATATTAAACACGGTTTCACCATTAACATGTAAACAGTCATAGGAGGATGAAGTACGTTAATTTTTTCTTTTGATTTGCAAATCGATAAAAAAAATTTTAAGCTGTGAAGCTATGTGGAACTAATCGCATTAAACACAGCGTCTAATTTAAATATCATGGAAATTTTAAAATACATTTTAGGTAATCTAATTGAGAAAAATAATATGGAGGAAGGTAGGTACTTTATTTACGTCGTACTACAGCTGTGTAGCAGTCAGGCACAAGCCTAAGCAGCTAGGCACAAGCCTCACCTTGTCTGGTGAATGAGGTAAAAGCGTCAGCTTTTTATCTGTTCACCAGCATGATCAACTGGTCGGGTTGATGAGTTGATGGTACGCTGTGTTCCATGCTGTTTGTCGTTGAATGGTGTAGCCTTTTTAATTTAACCTTAATCTGAATAAATAATGTTGTAAATATATAATTATATCATTTATTGCTTATTTTTACTCAATGTGAAATTATGTCATTATCTTAAATATACTCACAAGTTCCTCCACACCTTACAAAGGTGAAGCGGACAAGCTGCACAAAATAATATGGAAGGCATCGTAATATATTCCTATACATCCGTGCAGAGGAAGAGGGGGAAGGAAGGAGGCTCTAGACATAGAACGAATTAAAAAAAATTAAATTATTTTTAGAACAGTATGGAGTTTGCATAAATTAGTTTTAACCAATTAAGACTCGTGCTCAAGACTCGCGTCTGTGCGATCGCTTCGACTGTGCGTTGAGTGAGAATATTCATTGAGTGAGAATATTCCATAAAACGTTCTGATTTATTTATTTTATAAAGCATTCATATCATTATTTCTATCTTATTTCACATGTTTCGGATTTATATAAATTTGTCAAAACTAAGCGTGTACTTTGCCGATTATGTAAGATTTCTGTTTTAAGACATGTCAAAATTACAGTATTGACAACTTCAACTTTCTCAGGTTTTACTTTAAGCAGAAACGGCGCGATACTATTGTCGAAGATTATATTTTCTCTCTCTCTCTCTCTATTTTTCTCTTTCTTTTTTATAGAATTTTTCTAAATCGACATATTAGACGTTATTTTCAATTTATTATTATTATTATTTAGTTTATTGGTTTTGCAAAATCCTTTAAATTTTTGAACTCCGATTCTTAGAAATGAAGTTATAGTTAGTTTTTCGTAAGCGGACTGACTAAACTGGAAGTAAACTCCCGAAAACAAAACTAAAATTAATTTTGTTATGCTTTAAGTATTTTAAACTTTTTTTATTTGAATAAATTATATTTTTAAGACAAATAAAATCCATTTTCAGAAATTAGTTTTCGAAAAAAATTTTTTTTTGTTACAATTTTCTAGCATTTTAAATGTATTTTTTACTGAACGTTGATTTTGAGAAAATTTCCTTACGATCACATAACAAAAAAAATTTTTTTTGAAATTTTGTATGAAGACTTTGTATAATATTAGCGATACTTTGAACAAAATGCCATAGCCTAAGTTTGAATTTGTTATTTTTTTTTATCAAGCTTTAAGTAAGAATATTTGGAACTTCTTTTTGAATACTGAATATTAAATAATATATTTATCCCTACTTCATTGTCTTTTTGAATTTTTTTTAAGCTATCTAAATCCCTACCCCTTTCTTTAAAAAGTGGTAATTTTTTTCCTCAGTACAATGCATTGCGCAAGAGCAACGTCAGTAGGGAATGGGTTAAGAAAGTAAATATAAGCAATATTATATTCAAAATTCTATTAAGATTTTCAGTTATAAGTTATGAAATACTTAAAGTGTTCCATGAACACAATAGCTGTTGACAGATACTCTCAATGAGTCGGTGATGTCGTTGAAGCCATGAATTATATCTGCAGATAAGCAGACAAAACAGCTGGAATTTTAGCACTTCTTTAAAAAAATGGTCTCATAGCGCAGTAAGAAAGTATCACGTGACTGACTATGTGTATATGAGAGACAGCGTTGCACAGCTGTTACATTGACATACCCTAAAGAAGAACAAAATGCCTAAATATTTTTATAATTTTTTTTATTATGTTGCACTATTTAATAGTATGCAATTTGCACTGATAAATTAAAAGTAGCAGTGAGATTTATTTTAGTCAATTTCCCACATTATTTATTAATTAATGTATGCAATATATAAAAACGATTCAAAGTATTAATTTCTCAAAGGGAAAAAAAAAATCACAAATGTTCGTGCATTTTTTTTTTTTTTTTTGAGTTCATTTTATCCTCTCAAGTTCATTAGTTTTATATGATTCATATACATTGAAAATTTATATTAGTTGGACTTTCCTCTATAAACGCTCTTATTGGTATAAATATTGTGAATTCCTTTGACAACTTAAAGGACAAAGGTTGATACCTAGTAAATGGCATTTGATTAACACCGTTGATGGATGGCTTTCTTTCACTGATTGTTACACAGATAACTTTTCAAAGTCTCAGAATACTAAATCACGGATTCATAAGACTCACATTATCGTTGTTGGATACTCTCTAAAGAGTGGTTTTATATGAATTTATAAAATGCCAACTTAGTTTTATTAAAAAAAATTAACTGAGCACGATATTGATAAGTTTATGACAAAACTGAGAATTCCGGTCACAATTATCTTGGAAACACTGATGAGTTGTCATTGTATACAGCTCCTGGAGGAAACTGGGTGGTGTTCTGCGGTAATGCTCCCTGACCCCGTGACCAATTATTGGTTGTTACGGGAGTACTTTTAATGTAACGCAACCGTAAACAATTAAATTTGAAAGTAAAATAATTTCCTTTCATTTGGGCAGCTCGGGAAATCGATTTTCGATTGGCGGAGTTCTTAAAGGTGTGTTCAAAATATTCAAGTGATAGCAAACTACACATCAAAGCAATTTGAAATTCTCCTATTTTAGCAGCGTAATTCAATTAAAATAATATTGATCTAGCATGTATCAGACATCTATGTTAGCTAAAGTGACATGATGTCCTCAAATCTCTAGGACAGTCATTCCTCAAATTTTAATAGTTGTTCTTAGAAACTTTCTAGCTCTTTAAGCACAAAAATGTCGTCAAGTTTTAACATAAGTCTTAAAATATACTAGAATTAGTCCTCAATTTGTATTAAATGACAAATATTAAATAAACAATCAGAAATGCTCATATTTTGGCATTTCTGATTTTTTTCATTATGATTTTTTGCATTCTGAAAATTTTTGTCTTATAGAAAAAAC